GTTCTTTTATTAGATCTAGTTTTCTTTTTAAGGCATCTGCTGGTGCTTATAGATCCACCATCCATGGCTTTAAGTTGGGCTATTAAAAATATGTCCTGTTCTGATTTAGAGAGAGCTTGAAAAGATTCTCTTAATTCTGCAAATTGTTCCTTGGGAATTCTGGAAGAACAATTGCAATCACATCCTTTTTCTAAAAAAACAATTGCTTTTTGATATTCATTAGAACCATTATGATTATTGCTTTTCATATACCTATAACCCTCTATATATATAATTTTATGTTCACTTTGTAGGTTTTATTGAAAATTTCAAAAATAAAAATAGTCAAAAACATTGGTTATAATTTATCTTTGAACAAATTTAAAAAAAAGCACAGTATATAATATAATATTTAACAAAGCAAAAGCAAATAAGTATTATAATTTTATTGCTAAAACTAATAAGATATATGAGTGATAAGTGTAATCAACTTTATACATATATTCTCATATGTTTCGATATAAAAATAAGAAAAATCATACTATTTTTTATGATTATGATAGTCCAATGAATAATATATAAATTAAGCAAAAACATTGGTATATCATATGCCTATAGCTTCATTGAGGTTTGATGAGGAAACTGTGATTAAGTATTGAAGATAAACTATTTTGTTGGTAGCAATTTTCTAGTTCCTTGTAAAAATCCTGACCGTGAGGATTACCATGCCACATATTTTCTGTATCCTCCATCATTTTAATCAACATATAAATGTCTGTGGCAGGTTTACAGGAATCAACAGTGACTGGATCAAAAATACGAAGCATGTTGCTGTGAATGGCTTTTCCATGGTGTTGTGCAAATTCGCCTGCATCTATCACATAGAAACAATCATTTTGTTCTACCACATTTGGCCAACGTAAGTCTACTATACACCAACCTCTTTGATGAACACTATAAACACAATGAACAATACAGTGCATTGCAATATGTAATTTTCCAATTGAATCTGGCTTCCTATTTACTCCTACTGGAGTTAAATATAATGTTAACACTTCAGATTCATCATCTTTGACTTTAATGACATATTTCACTGCTTTTTCCAAGTATTGTGTCCCCTTTGTAGTGTCATAGAATAATTTGACCCTAATGCATAGAAAATTACCATAGCATTAGTATAAAAACTAACAACATAATTTTA